GAGGGCTGCTAAATGATGCTACAACATGACTGCACAGTAGCTGCAACGTGACAGCAGCTATGCAGTATGGAGCTGCACATGGGCTGCAAGAAATGGCAGCAAACTTCAACATTTTAGTCAATGTTTTAAGTAGTCAATAGTTATTGTATTAGGTAAGAAATTGAATGAAAATTGAGTACGAGAAAGCATGGTTTCTTCTCTCTAGCTGGGTGAATGTCTGCACCCTTCCAAGTTTATGACTTTATGTTCTATGTCATGTTCTAAAATCTACTTTTCTCCTACTCTCCTCCAAGTCCTCTCTTAACCCTTTCTTCTTATCTCGAAAATCTAACATGGTGGATTGGCAATTGAAACAGAAAGAATCAATTTTTGTTTTTTTAACATAAATTTACAAAAAAATATATTTATTTTATTTATAATTTATTCTATTAGGGCACATGATAGAAAAATTCATAATAATATCTGGGAATTTTCAACAAAGGAACAAACTTGGGCCAAATTTCAAATCGTTTAGGGATTAAATCAGTGATTTTTTAAGTTTAGGGACCAAGTTAACCTTCTTAAATTTAAGAAGTTCAAGGACGATATTCGTTAACTCGTTTTTCTTAAGGGACTCAATTTAAAATTTATCTTTTTCTTAAACCCTAGACCCTAGTAATTATCGCCGAGCCTAGCTATTTCTGAAGCAAAATCAACAAAATAAACATTTCTTCCTCCATTTCTCCTGCACTTCATCTGAAGATTTCGCTTTCTACGCCAGTTTAAGGTAATCCTCTTCTAACTTTGCATCCGTTTTGATGCACTAGAACTGGGTATTCAATTTTAATCCGATTTTAATTTGATTAAAATAATTCTCTCTTTATCCCTCTGTGCTCTACCCTTTCAATTTCAAGTTAGAGGGTGAATGTTGTTTCGTTTCATTGTTTTGCTATTGAAATCGAATTTCTGGGTTGTGTTTTTGCTACAATTTATGTTTCTGTTCTATAACCATTGGCAATTGGTTTCCAAGGTAGTATCAGTATTCATTATTTCGATGCTTTATTGTTCTGGTTCTTCTTCTCTAGGTGAAGCGTGGAGAAAATTGCGGACTTTTGGACTATTTTCTTTGAATTTTCAGTTTTTCTTTATGGGGACAATTATCTTGGTTGAACTAGATTGCAAGGGAGGTTTGGTTTATCAGATATTGATTTCATAAGTGTATAGAAGTGATTTTTTCGATTGGTGAGAGAGAGATGGGCTTAACAGTTATCCCACAGAATTCTGTGTTTGAGCTTCACTGTCTACATGGTTCACAATTGTCTTCAAAAGAAGTTGGTTCAGGAAGCAAATCTTGGTTAAAATGGAGGGTAGATGGGGGATTGAGAAGGGGTGTGTTTTCTTTGTGGTGCAAGGGACAGCGGAGAAGTGTCTGTGGTGCTGATAGAGATGAAGTTGACCAAGATGGGTGGGGTTCAGCAAGTTATGCCACAATTCAAAAGAGAAAATTCAAAGCGGAAACTAAAACAGGAAAGCTTCCAAATTCTTTGATTCTGTCAATAGATGGACCACTTGTTAGAAATGATGAGAAAATGAACAATGAGATCCTTCATTATTTCTGCAGCAATAGGAAAATACTGGAAGCATCAAGGCTGATAGAAAATATGCAACGTTGGAACCAAGTTCCTCACATTCCTTCCTGCATAAACATAATCAGGTGCTTTATTAAGGGAGATAAACTTGAGAAAGCTGACAAAATCTTGAAAATTGTGATAATGTCTGGTGGGATTCTGGATATTATTACTTACAACATGATGGTTCGAGGCCTGTGTAAGAGAGGGAATATAAGATCTGCCATTGATCTCCTCGATGACATGAGTTTGAGTGGTTGCCCACCAGATATGATCACATATAATACAATAATTCGCTCTATGTTTAATAATGGGAATTTTGAACAGGCTCTTCAATTTTGGAAGGACCAATTGAGGAAGGGTTGTCCGCCATATCTCATCACCTATACAATTCTTGTGGAACTAGTCTGCAAGCACTGTGGAACCGTGCGGGCACTGGAAGTATTGGATGAGATGGAAGTAGAGGGCTGTTATCCGGATATCATTACATACAATTCTTTGGTTAATTTTACATGCAAACATGGGAAATATGAGGATGCGGCATTGGTCATATATAATATGCTATCTCATGGAATGGAACCTGAGTCTGTAACTTACAACACCATTCTCCAGGCTATCTGTAGTGATGGGTGTTGGGATGAAATAACTGAGATCCTTGGAATCATGAAGGAAACTTGCCATGCGCCAACAGCATTTACTTACAATATTTTGATCAATGGTTTGTGTAAATATGGACTTCTGGATCGTGCCATCAACTTCTATAATCAAATGATTTCTGAAAATTGTTCTCCTGATCTTGTCACTTACAACATACTATTGGATGCGCTTTCTAAAGAAGGAATGGTGGAGGAGGCTCTTCAGTTACTCCTCTCTGTAAGACGTAATGGTTATTCTCTTTGTTCCATAAGCTACAATACAGTGATTGACGGACTAGGTCAAAAGGGTTTTATGGAGAAAGCAATGGGTTGTTATTTTCAGATGTTAGAAGATGGTATAACTCCTGATGATATAACACATCGTTCCCTGTTTTGGGGATTCTGCCGGGCAGATCTAGTTGAGGAAGCTGTGGAGATATTAAGGGAGATGATTAAGAAAGAGCAGCGGGTTGGTAATTCTGCTTACAAGATGCTGATTGAGAGATGTTGTAAATGTCAGAAGGTAGATTTGGCTATTCAAGTTCTAGAAATGATGATCTCAAGTCGTTACAAGCCAGATGAAGCAATTTATCTGACCATTATTAAAGGTCTGGTTGATTTTGGTTTAATTGAAGAAACCAACAAGTTGCACCAAGAGCTGAAAGATTTGAAGGTTTTAGGAGAATAATTCATGTTAGATTAAGGCGACTGTGCACAGTGGGCAGTTCACTCAATGCTATTTCTCAGAATTTTGATAGCCATTTCTTTTATGCCTAAGCACATTTCTCAAGGTAATCCTTCTCCTCTTATTTGCTTTTCCTTTTGAACTTAAAAACTTGTATTATCTTGAAACTTTTGATTGCTTTTGTAATTTACTTTTAGCTTGTAATCATTTTGATCCTTAGTTTTCTGTGGGCTGCTTTCAAAAGCCATTGCATGGGGAATATCATTTAACTACATGGTTTACGGATTTGCTTGACATATTTATGGATCATTATTGGTCTTTTACTAGTTTGCAGTATAAGCAGAATGGTCGTCTGGTATTTGTTTTTGCTTTAAGTTCATGTTGGTGATGGAATGTTCTTTATTAACTCAAAAAGCTCAAGACTTCTTTACTTTCAACAGTGAGGTTTTTTTGGTCAACAGTGAGTTTTTTTGGCCAAGTGTCGCACTGAGTTCTTAATCTCCTTCCTAACTGTATTAATTTTTTTATTCCAGGGGTACATTTGGGTTGGACAGCTTTGGGAAATGAAAGAAAGAGTAATCAAACCATAATCTGAGTGAAGAGCAATGTCCTGTTGTTTATGACCTCAAATTGTTGAACTTCTTGTTGTGTGATGGGTTCAAGCAAGAAGAGCCATTTCGATGAGAGTCTAGATTAGATGGTACTGCATTCCGCATCTTGTAGTTTGTGTGTTCTCTTTATTGATGAAATGTAACTCAATCTTTTTGGTGCCTAAAGTGATCTCAGTTTTGAAAGCAAGTCTGAATATCAGTTTTC